TATCAGGATGGCGTCTGTTTGGAAATCTTTCAGCATAAAGCCTTTCTGCTACCGAGTAATTATTCCTGGCCTCACCCAAATGTAAATCATGTCCACAATTCCATTTGGTGGGTAAGCAGCCATAATTATAAAGAAAAAACGCGCCAAGAAACCAAAAATTCCTGTCTTATCAAAAAAAAGTCAATGGATAATAATATGCATCTGTCTGAGACTTCGCCAAAATACCGACAGTTACCCAAGTAAGAAATTTGAAACAAGCCTCTTGATATTTGTTTCATTAAGAGAATTGACAATTGCACTTTCACAATTGTTACAGTTCATTGATTATCAGGCAATATAGGATCTCGTCTTGACTGGCTGGATCATGCTCGGATCTTGCTTTGACTGGTTGGATCATGCTCGGATCTTGCCTTAACTGATTGGATCATGCTCGGATCTTGCCTTGACTGGTTGGATCATGTAAGATAAGACTATCGGAAAGTGAATGTTTTACGAAATATTTTGTATTTTTATCAAAATTTTGTAAATTTGGACCTTTATAACTCGAAAAGTACTTCACCAAAAAACATTTGATTATAGTGTTTTGGGAAGCTCTCGAGGTCAGCTATAAGAATATGTAATAAAGGATAGGGAGTGCTATCTAAAAAAATTGAGGTTATCTTCACGTGACCTTCAAATGACTCAAGGTCAAATCAATGGCTCCATCTTATGGCTCCCTCGAAACCATACAAAACGTGTCTTATGGCTCCTTCGAAACCATACAAAACGTGTCTGAATCATTTTTCTCTAAAATAAAAAATAAGAGAGATATTTGGGGTGGACACTTAAAATGGGACACCCTGTATATAGGGTGCACGATTTATCTGAAGACATTGAAATATCTCGAGAACTATGCATTGGATAAAAAAAAGTGGGGACATCCAATGATACCAAACTCGACCTCCCACCCCACCCCCTGGGGGTGGGGGTTGGGGGCAACTTTGAAATCTTAAATGGAAACCCCCATTTTTTATTGCAGATATGAATTCTACGCCACAAAATACGTAAATTTTGTCCGAAACTTTTTTTTTATTCGTGATAGATGGCACTGTAATCGCAAAAAATTATATTTTCCGCAATTCTCCAGAAATGATCATTGGATTGAGAAATAAAAAATACCTGTTCAATATTTTTAAAGAACATAATAAAAGTTATTCCCCCCCATCCTCTCGGGGTAGGGTGGGTGGTAACGTTCAAATCTCAAATGGGGACCCACATTTTTCATTGCAGAATTAGATTGTACGTGAAATTTTTATTGAAACAATTTTTTTCATTCGTGATAGATAGCGTTGAATTTTTCCGAGAAACTACTTTTAGCGTTACACAGGAACAACGACGAGGACGTAGTAGTTTTATGTTCTCTTCGGGTGCTTTTTTAATGTGAGTCCCCTTGCCTCTCACAGATCGGGGTGCTTTTTTAATGTGAGTCCCCTTGCCTCTCACTGTTCAATTAATTAGAGTAAGTGTTCGAAATTTTTACCTTCAACCTCAATACACTTATTGATCCTTTTTTCAAATCACGCGCGATCGCCTCTTGTCGCTTACGTTGCCCCTCGCCGCGCGCGCTCGCCTACCGTCACTCACTGACTCCGCCTGTATCAAGGCTGTGTTCCGATATTCACTGTCAGTACTGAAACTCTATAATATACGTGACACGAGCTATAGATTTTTAGTACTAGCAGTGGATATCGGAACGCAGCTCAAATGTCTACGTACTTACTGCGGCCGCCCTCCGCTCTCTACGCGCTCGTTGGCTCATATGTTTTAATTAATAACTCGATAACTATTGGCAATTTGACATTATGGTACATGACTTTTCTTCTCGGCTACACCCAATCTATCTCCAACTTTCGTGTGCATGATCAGCTATCAAACACCCTGTATATGTCTATGGTGTAAACGTAATCTATGAATACGGCCCATAGACTGCAGCATAGTGCAGCTAGGCTACACTTTCCGTGTATTTTTCCGTGTAGCATATTTTGCCACGCAGACATTATATTTGCTTATCAGACTTACATAGACATCTTCCTTATATTATAGTATCTAGATCGGTACAGAGCCCGATTTTGCATTTGGGTTCTTGAAAATTTGTAATAAATGGAAATATTGGCTCGTGCTGCACCGCAGGATGCACTTTCATTCAAAATTTTTATTCGATTTTTATTTAGACCTTTTTTCCAAAAAAAGCTTTGTACGATGCTCTTTGTACGATGCGGGCGTTTCTCCTGATTACAAATATCATACATATAAGGTGATTCTCTTCGTATTTTGTTCATAATTTGCAATATAATTTTGCCTAGTTCGCGGGTCTCCGCGAGAGGTCTTTAGTATGGCTCCTGCAGACCTTAACCAAGATCGTCTTAAGCCAGCGGCACACGGTGCTTGTTTTCGTGCTGGATTGCTTGCTGGATGAAAATATTGCGTTGTGATTGGTACATTTCCGAAGATGGATGGAAATGCACCAATCAGAACGCAGTATTTTCATCCAGCAAGCAATCCAGCACGAAAACAAGCACCGTGTGCCACTGGCTTTAAATGCTGATTTGAGATTCGACTATGGCTGAGTTCCGATATTCACTGCCAGTACTGAAAATATATAGTTTGTGTCACGTATACTATAGATTTGCAATACTGACAGTAAATATCGGAACGCAGTCTATGAATACGACCCTTAGGCCCAGTTCCACAACTTGCTTTGAACTCCGTTTAAACTCCGTTTAAAGCAAGTTGTGGAATTGGACCTTAATCTAGCGGCACACGGTGCTTGTTTTCGCGCTGGATTGCTTGCTAGATGAAAATACTGCGTTCTGATTGGTATATTTTCGAAGATGGATGGAAATGCACTAATCAGAATGCAATATTTTCATCCAGCAAGCAATCCAGCACGAAAACAAGCACTGTGTGCCACTGGCTTTAGACACGAGTATGTTAAGCAGCTACACGTGTGACATAATTGACGCATGCGCAGGAGGTTGCCGAGGGAATAATGCCCCCACACTCGCACAGTCTTGCAAAATGCGCGGGAAACTGTCGAAACAATTGAGCGACGCAATGGGAATCGATCGTACGGGATCACTGAAATGCGGACTCCTGTTGCCACGAAAATTCTTCGGTGATTATTTTTGTGTAAAATCTACTGCGCTCGCTGCCGCGATCGAAAACTGCCGAATTCGGCGCCAACGCGGCCGCCGGTCTATTGGCGCGCCATGTTTAGGCGCGAAACGTCGGCCGCAACAGCCAATTAGACGTCTGCTCGAATGTTAATCACCAGTTTGTCCCGTGAGCTACCAGTCAGTTGTTCCCGCCTCGTGCACTCGTTAGTACGGATCGTCTCTCGACGTGTGTGAAACATTATCGTGTGCCCGACGAAATCACTGTAAACGATAAACTCCTACTGAAGGAAAAGAGATCACGATCATGCCACTGCAGGAGTCCACCAAAGAAAACGTCCGCAAGCATCTCGAAGATGTGTCTTTGAACGTAAGTAATCATTTCTCGCAGGGGTTCGTCCGACGAAATTTGCGTCTCGCTCCAGCCGCTGCTTCGTCTCATCGAGGTGGCTCGATTAGTATCGCATTGAGTCGTTTTGTCGTTCCTGCGCGTTTATTTGAAGGAACAAATGAATAATAAACGTTCATAAAAAATAATGTAAAGATCGCACATCGCTAACATGTTTCGCGACCGATTCTGAACCTGCGGAACTTTTTTTAGGCGCGTTACGCAAAAATTGTTTCGCCTATTTTGTTTGTAGTCTTTCACTCGGGTATATATAATTTGTGTGCATATACACAAATTATATATGTATGTATTTATTTCTGTAGTGTGTATGTGCATGTATCCCTCTTTGTACGTGTGTACATGTATGCATATATGTCATATATGTGTGTGCGTGTGTGTATATAACTAGGTATAGAATGTTTCAAAGGCGGAAGTAATCGCTCAGAAGGTGATTGGAAATCCAAAAACAAGAAAAAAGATTGATATATATATCGTTAAACACATCGAAAAAATGCACTTTTAAACCTATGTTTATATCAACTTTTGTTCTTGTTTTTGAATCCCTAATTATCTTCCGAGCGATTGATCTCCAGTTTTGAAACTCCCTGTATACTTTGTACGCTATATAGGGGCGTGTATCTCTTTTTACTTTACATGGAACTTTAGTTCATCCACATCAAAATGCTGTATTTTTATATTTCGTAAAGTTTTCTCTTTCGATTTTTATTTAAAGACTTGTTTCTATTTTCTTTCAGTTCCATTTTTGACTTTTTATAGAGAAATAACTATGTGAGTTCGCGATTACATTTCTTAAAAAAGAAAAGAATATAATAAATTTAGAAAATTCTTAGTGTCGAGAGAAATAAAGTAAGCCCTTCTGAGACTTAAAAAAGAATAGTATTTGAGGAATTGAATCTTGGTTATCGAAACGCGATTTCCTGGCCGATCTGTGCTGTGAATCATACTTTCTATTTTCGACAATCTGAGGCAATGGATACAACATACCACACGAAGCTACTATGATTTAGTCGTTCAGTTATAATTGCAATCTTGTAGATAATGCGTTCATGAATCGACTCGAATTGCATTAGACGTCTCACTTTTCGCAGAATGATCATATATGTTCGGAATCCGAACTTTGGATACGTGTCATCGAGACGTCAAAATTAACATGCACGATGCTATCGAATGCACGCGTAGCCGCAAGAAAAACGCGTTTCGAGACATGAGACCATTGTGCGTCATACAATTCATACAAACCGCAAAATTGCATTTTACACTTCAAATGCTTTACGTTCGCCTACGACGATTCACATGACACACACACACACACACACACACACACACGCACGCACGCACGCACGCACGCACGCACACACACACACACACACACACACACACACACACACACACACACACACACACACATCCCTCTTCCACTACTACCACTACTACCTCACGCTGGAAAATGGCGTATGGGTACACCTTTCTACTTAAAGCCATATACCGAACCGAACTACTACCTCACTCATATCTGTGTACGTTGGCGACACGAAGCGCGGAATGGCTAGCATTCATCGCTCGGAAAATCTCAGAATGTCATTAATGTCTCACGGTTCTGCACTTGATGTCAATAACTTAGGATGAACGGTGAAAAGGTAGACAACCTCCTCGCGAATAATACATCGCAAATTCAGTCTTCTGGCCGGCCGCAGCATCATACAGGTGTTCATGTTTATCGATATTCCTGTAGGTTAAAATATTTTTAGCAGCACACGCGACAGTATATAAAATGACTTGTCGATGGAATCGAAGACTCATGAAATAGTATCTTCGCGGAAACTTATATCGTTTGTTCGTTGCACACGATTGTGCAACGGCTCCTATAATGCGTTTTTCTGTTATGAACATACGAAAATATTTCCTTAAAATAAGCAATGCTACGTGGCTGTGAAGATTTTAAGTCATTGCGATTTAATTTACATGGCACTAGAATCGGAATTTGCGACAATATTTGGATTACAATATTGTGTTTGTTGAATTGCATAATGTTTCCTTGTAATGTTACAAAATAATTTCATTGCAGTATTGATGATGGTATATGGATAAAATATTTACCATAAAATAATTACAATAAAATTATTGATCTATAGATATAACTTCCTGCTTACTTCACACATATAGAAATAATAAAAAATATACTTATATTCTGATCAATTGTTTATCTTTTCTCAGACATCGCCAAAGAAATCATGCATTTCACCAACTATATCCCAGGATCATGGGTTAAAAAGTATGGTAGGTGTATTTTCTGCTATATATATATATATTTATTTCTTATTGAAATACATTTTCATATTAAATATATCGTATATAAAAATGATATCGACTAAATTGAAATGTCTTTAGAATTATACTCATATATTTTACATATGTATATAATGCAAGAAATAAGCTAAATATCTATATAAATATCTAATTAAGCAAATTACATCATTTACAGTTTCCCAAGACGAAGGCTGTACGAAAAGTACACTTAAAAGAGGAATTCAATCCAGATTTGGAACCATTGCTCCAGGAAGAACCAAACCGTTTTGTAATCTTTCCTATTCGATATCCTGATATTTGGGATATGTACAAAAAAGCTGTTGCTTCTTTTTGGACCATAGAAGAAGTACCTCTTCATAAAGTGAGTTTCTAACTTATCTAAGTGACATTTTATAAAATATGAAATGATGTTTTTGTATATTTCACATATTTCTTAATCTTTACAGCTGGATAAAAAGGATTGGGAGGAGAAATTGAATTCCGATGAAAGATATTTCATATCCCACGTGTTGGCGTTCTTTGCCGCTTCTGACGGTATCGTCAATGAAAATCTTATTGAAAGATTCTGCCAAGAAGTTAAGATTTCAGAGGCGCGTTGTTTCTATGGCTTCCAAATTGCAATAGAGAACATTCATTCCGAAATGTATTCATTGCTCATCGAAACCTACATCTCTGATCTAAAAGAAAAGTAAGTGTAACCATAATACCATTTGTATTATGCAAAATATAAGAGAATATACATTGAGGAAACAGCCAAATTATCAAACTGATAAAAAATTCTGGATAAAGTCACTCAAAAAAGAAATAAATTTTGAATGTTTTTTTTCAGTAAGGTTAGTATGGTCACGTCACTATAAGGTTGGTACACTTGTACAGGTTGATCCATTTCTTAAATGCTCAAAACGTCTTGGTAAAAATATATTTGAACAAGTGTTTCAAACAAAAGTTACTTGATTTTAAGAGGACAATAAAACAGTATCATTTGACTTTATTTGGACTTTTATCTGAAACATTTTTTGGATATTATATTTTTTTAAATATTTTAAGTAAACATTTAAAATAAGTTACTCTTTGTGTGCACGTGCACATACTCACATACATATATATAATTATTTTAAGTTTGTTTTTGACCTCCATAGCTGATTTACATAATATTTGAAGATGAACTTAAGATAATCTTAAATATATAAGATATCCAAAAAGTCCCGAACCGGTAAAATATCTAGAAAACAAGACGTTTCAGAAAAAAATGTTTCATACAAGAGTTATATGGTTTCAAGGGGGACATGAAACAACTATATGAGTTTATTTATATGAGATGACGCCACTTTCGAAATATTCACTGATCGTTATTTTTCTTAAATGGAAACCCCAATTTTTTATTATATCTTTTTCTATCAATTAATTATAAAATCAATTAATTATAAAATTTGAACATCTGTAAACAAAATGAAATGATGATGAAGTTGTTTTATTATTCCCCTTAAGATCATACAACTTTTGTCCGAAACATTTTTTTCTAAAATGCTTGGTTTTCGAGATATTTTACCGGTTCAGGACATCCTGATAATAAAATTCGACCATGAATCTGCATTGAGATTTATATATTCTAGAGAGTGAAGTTTCTAAAGTTTAACTCTAACTTTCTGCAAACATATTGCATCAATCTATTTGTATATTATTTACATTGTTGCTAATATATGATTTTTATTCGCAGAGATTTCCTGTTTAATGCGATCGAGACTCTGCCTTGTGTCACTAAAAAAGCCAATTGGGCACTTAATTGGATCAATCACGAGAGTGCAACATTTCCGGAACGTATAGTCGCGTTTGCCGCAGTTGAAGGTATCTTCTTCAGTGGTAGTTTCGCAGCAATCTTCTGGCTAAAGAAGCGAGGAGTGATGCCGGGTCTCACATTTAGCAACGAGCTCATTTCACGAGATGAAGTAGGTATAAGTTTTTTTATTATTTCATGTTGTCACTTTTTTCTCCTGTGTTTTTGTAATATTCTTTTCAATTTCTTTTAATACAAGTTAGTAGACTATTTTAATAAAGAATAAATAGTGATAGATTATATAAACATTGAATAATTTAAAGAATGAGAAATGAATAAGTGTATCTAATTAGTTTAAGATATATTTAAATATAAATGAAAATGTGAAGAACATAATTGGGAGATATATAATGTATATATGTACATATATTTTCTTTTTTTATATTTTTTATCTTTTGATTTCTTTTATTTTTATATTTCTATTGTCTTTAAATTTTTATGAAATATATTAATAAAGTTAAGGATATTTGACTGTTATATTTTTCCAGGGATTGCATTGCGATTTTGCATGTTTGATGTTTAAACATGTCATACAAAAACCTTCGTTTGAACGCGTCAAGACGATTATTATGGACGCCGTAGAAATTGAGAAGGAATTTCTAACACAGGCATTGCCGGTAAAACTCATAGGAATGAATTGCACACTCATGTGCACCTACATCGAATTTGTCGCAGATAGATTGTTCGTTGCGTTAGGATTTGACAAGGTAATATGACCATATATTTATTATTTATTAAGCTTTTTGGTCTTCCGCCGCGGAACTTTTGATCGATGATGTCAGAAAATAGAAAATGCATACTCAAAATTCTTGCATCCCAGTTCCAAATAAAAAGATATTTGTATGAAAGAATATCTTAAGTTATTAAAACATGCTTGTAAAATGCTCTGAACATTATGTTTTTCCCTTGAAAATCAATCAGTAATCGTAAAATAATTAATATGAAGGTCACATGGAATTATTGCGCACACACATGTGCATAACTAAATCTCATATTATAAATATTATACGTTTCTGATTGACTTTCAGAACAGAAACAAATAGTGTTAGGAGCATTTTAAAAATATGTTCTAGTGACCTAAAGTATTCTTCCATATTTAAATTTTGTCATTTCACATCTCTGATGTCTCACTATTCAATATAGCAAGTAAGACTCAGGCCATTCATTAGTAGTTTTTAATTTACTAATATCTGTACTCTAAGAATATTATACAATATAATAATATATCTTTTATTATAATAATATATTCTATTTTTTAATATCACTAAATGCTGAAAAAAAATACCCAGGTTTACAATTCAGAGAATCCGTTTTCGTTCATGGATTTTATCTCTTTGGAAGGCAAAACAAACTTCTTCGAGAAGAAAGTGGGCGAATATAAGAAATTCGGAGTGATGGAAGAAAATTCTCAAAAGAAAAGCAGCACATCGGGTGTAGTATTTAGCGCGAATTTTTAGCATAATAACGTATAAAAGTATAAAAGTTCATTCGTTTTAGCATCATTTCCTCGCACTTTCCTTGTACTTTGAGTGTGAAATTGCGTTAAAAAACGAAAAATTATAACAGCAGCTAAAGGGGATAGAAAATAATGTAAGAAAGATGTATTTATGTGATATAATGTACAGGATACATTTGTTGAGATACAAACTAAAAACATTACGTTCTTTGGACATCTATTTATTATTCTTTATAAAAGTTGTTTATTATCAGTCGGAACCAAATAGTTATTTTCAAGTGACTTCGCAAAAATCAAGCGGTTTTAATAATTTAAGTAAATATTATATTAACATCGAAATTAATTATTTTAACGTAATTAAATTTAATATAATTAAATTATTTTAATCTTGACTCGATTTTTTAACTTTTATGTACCTTTATTAATCTTCAATACCCAAAATGTACAATGTTCTACAGGCTGATTCGAAACAATCAGTTGTCCCTAACATGCTATATTCTTGAGCAAATTCTGACTATTTTTCCTCTTACAAAATGTTATCCGATGCTTAATTACTGAGTTATTAAGATAAATAGTTCGTTTATTAGGGGCTGGATACAGAAAGCAGAGACGGAACAATTGACCGTTGGGACGCGCGTCGCGTAAGCGCTGACGTTGGGCGCTTAATGTGATGTGCTAATCGACACATGTGATAACATTCATCCATATTATTTTTAAAACTTAAAAATTTTAACAATTGCAGGTGTAATAGCAAATATAGTATTATAAATTAGTAGGATATCAATTGTCTCGTCTCTGCCTGCCTTCCGTACTCGGTCCGTAATAGACGAACTATTTATCTTAATAACTCAGTAACTAAGCATCGGATAACATTTTGCAAGAGAAAAAATAGTCTTAGAATTTGCTCAAGAATGTAGCATATTAAGGACAACTGATTGTTTCAAGTCATCCTATATACCTAGGGTACCCAGGTACTCACCTACCAAATTCCTTAACCTTTAGCACTCGGATGTCCCCTTTCAGAGGACATAAAGACTTTATTAGTGATCATACATGATAAACTTATGCGAGCGCAAATTTTTAAAAAATCCATGTTTTCTTGAAGTTTTCACTCAAATTTTACTCACAAAAAATCAAATCAAAATATGGCATATATACTGACAAGGAAACTTACGGAAGTGTTACTCACTGATTTTAATGAAACTTTACACACTTGTAGAATATTGAAAAATAATCTACACGTATTTTTTATTTCTGCAATGGTGCGGGTTTAAGGAAACCACCCTTTGAACGTTAGGGGTAGTCTCCAAGCATAGACAGAATCATATAATTTAGAAGAAAAAATATTTTCAGAGGATTTTTAATGCAGCTGATTCCGAATTTGACGTCAAAATTACAAAATTCAAAATTGCGGATCCAATATGATGATTAAAGTTACAAAAATTCTCCTGGTTCGAAATATGCCTGCAGTTAGCCTATAAAAATTATAGTTTTCAGGGGGAAGATTGGATTAAGCGCTGACATATGTGTGTAGCACAAAATGGGAACCATTTTGAAGGCGACAAAAAAAATTTATTTGAATAATAGAATATTTTGTGTTTTATTGTCCGATTCTAGGTATCTTTTGAGAAGGTATATGACACTATATAAATTATATAACAAAAATAGTATATATCAAAATATATAATAATAAATATAAGATAACAATACATAATAAGAGAATTTTATTCTTTCAGAATAATCGGAATAATAATAAATCTGAGCAATGTAAACGGCACGTTTCGAAAATCATTCTCCGATGATTCTGCGTCCAGAAAGAACTCACTCAACAAATGCATATAATCAGGATGTGTTTCTTCCAGATGGATACCGTGTCGTAATTCAGCTTGATGCTAACGTTTCACAAAAATTACAGCTTGCATCATCAGGGCTAGGAGCTCCGATACTACAGTATCAGTACTGATTGTATCAATGGCCGTGAAAGTTTAAAAATTAGAATTGCGTATAAGTTTTACTCTTACCATAACGGATCACCGCGCGTCAGTTCATGATTGGTGACTCGCGATGGTTACTTCATGTATTTCCCTTGTGAAGAAAGCATTCAAACTTTATTTATAGCTGATTCGACGTGACCTTTTCTGTTTGTCTGATATATTTCGCTTTCGGATATTGTCAATATCATAAGTAAAATGTTTTCAACAGTCGTTTGTCAGACATACAGAATACACATCGAAACTTGTCTCTTTGAAACGTATCAGTAATTAGTCGAATTACGAAGAAAGTTAGGCGGTGTGATTATGTAAACAGATTATTGCGTCGAGCAAGTTGTAAAAGAGTAAAATCTCGATTAGGAGAAAAACGATAGAAAGAAACCGGAACCTTTGAAGAGCGATCTGTGCGGCAAACACTCCAGCAGAAAGAACAGCAAAAACGTATAAGGAAAGTGACACCAGTAACGAAAGCTTTCACCTGAAACAAGAGTTGAAGCACCATCTCGAAGAAGTTCACGGATATATCATGCACAAATGCGACTTTTGCATCTATGCATCTAATAGTGAAAGAGCACATTATACGATTGCATACGGACAATTACGACCATATATGTCCCGAGCAAAACTGTGACCGGGAGTATAATTGGCAGACGGATCTGAATAGACACATACGATATGTTCATTCTAACAAATAAGTAAAAAAGTAGTATTATTGATCCGGAACTGTCTTTGGAGAGTAATCCGTACGGCAAAATCCCAATAGAAGGAGCAGCATTAAAAAGTGCACAAAAGTTCCTAATTAATGCGACATTTGCAACCAAAGATTCCACAAAAAACATGAGTTAATACATCACTATAAAGAGGTCTACAAATGTTGCATATACAAATTTAACCATTGCAACTACGAAACCAACGAGAAGATATTGAAAAGGCATATAAGAAAACACACGAATAATTACGACTACGTATGTACTGAGCTCGGCTGTAACAAGAAATATAAATTTCAGGAAGGTATATATATAGAGAAGTCTGAAGTGTATATATATAGAGTTATCATCATAAGAATAAGAAGAAAAACAATAATGTGGACTCGAGTCTTTTCTCGGAGAGTAATCCATGCAGCGAACTTTCCAACAAAAGGAGCAGCATTGAAAAGTGCATAAGTGTTTCTAAACAATGTGAAATCTAATCAAATTTTCTATAGAAAGGAAGAGTTGATACATCATATAATGCAGGTTCACTAACGTTGCGTACACAAATGCAACCATTGCCACTACGAAACCAACGTAAAATGCAATTTGCAAAAGCACTTTATAATAAGGCATATGGATATTAAGGATTACATTAAGACTGGCTGTAATTGTGTGGAAAAAAGTCAGAAAAAGCTGAGGCAACACGTATGACATGTCCACTCTAACAAATAAAAGGAAAGCAATATTAAGGATCCAGAACCGTCCACGATGAATACCCGCGTAATCATTCTAGAACAAGAAGCAGCATTAAAGAGCTAATGAGTATGCCTTTTCGATACACAACGAAATCTGCAACGAAAGATTCCTTCCTAGACAAAAGTGGAAAAATCTAAATGTAAGCTCATGGATATTCCATGTGCAACTGCAGCCGTTGTAACTACGTATTCAACAAAAAGAATAATTTGTGAAGTTACATTGCACGGAATTACATAGACAATTATGACTATGTGTATACTGAGCCTGTCTATAACAGGAAGTATAAATAGTAGGCGGATCTGGAGATACACATACAACGTCCTAACAACCAAAAGAAAAGCAAAAGTGCAGACCAGGGCAGTCTTCGGAAGGTGACCTGTGCGGCAAACATTCCAAAAGACGGAGCAACATTGAAAAGCGCATAAGTATGCCTCAACTACGCAAAATCTGCAACCAAGGTTTCGATAGGAAAAAAAGAATTGAAGCATCACCTCTGAAATGATCACGGATCATCGTATGTGCAACTGCAACAATTATAATTACATATCTAACAGGAAACAGCACTTGAAGTATCGCGTTGCGTGAAAACACATGGAATTACGACTACGTGTGTAATAAGGAAAGTTGCTACAAAAAATTCAAACTCGAACAGGAACTGAAGAAATGGGTAAAATATGATCTTTCCAATGATTCCTACCAATGTTGAAAATATGCTCAAGTAAGTTCTAGTTTTGTAAAGTGCGGGAAGCATAGGAATGTGCGAAGAAATCCAGAAGTTCAATCTGGTAAGATCATACGTAAGTAAAATTTATTTCATCATTTACAGATATACGCTGAGACGATAATTGCTTATCCTGTCTGCAATAAGATATTTAGTAGGAAGAATAATATGCTGAATTCATCCATTATACCACGCGGACCAGAAACTCTATATCTGCAAGATTTATGGCACGATGTTTATCCATCGGCAATTTTTATATAATTATGGAGAAAGAATATTCCCACTTAATTCCTCTCGAATAAAGTGAGTTGATATCGAAAGCATTTCTGTAAAATTTCTAGAAGAGCAAGAGATTAACAGGCTGTCGAATCGAGTAGAAAAAGTATAAGACACGAGGAAACAGTTTCTGCTTAATTTGTTTATACACAGTTTGTTTATATCCACACGCTCAACATAAGTGCTGAACCACCATATGTATGCTTAAACGCGTACATGCACACACATATACACATAAGGTTTACGCATAGTAAACATCCCAAAGCGAATCTCTTTGTAGAATTATATTTTTAGCCCTTTTTAAATTGTGATTTTATCCCTGAACATCTATTCGCAATAATTCTATATTTTCCATATATTCTTACATAGGTACGCGTGCATGTGTGTACACATGCATGCTCGCACCCAATTTGTTGTATGGAATAAGACCGGTACATAGAGAAAAATTTGAGAACAACTATATGACGTATGTTGGAGATGTGTATTTCGCTTACATAATGAGCTGAACGTAACATTAAAATTTTATTTTTACATAATAAGATAGAAAAATTTTGTATTGTATGTTTGATGTTTTTAAAGTAAAATAAAATGTATACATGGATATTTACATGTTCCAGTAATACGAATACGTAAATACGAATTATAACAGTGATATTAAATCAATGATATAACATTGCATTTAACAATGTAACGATATAAAGGAATATAAATATAATATATTGCAAATTATAATTACATCGTTTAGTAAGGTGACATTGATATAGTTTTACTGTACTAATTTGTGCTTTGATTAGGATGCAATAAAAAGAAATATATATGTGCACATATATATTTTTTTGTAACATATTGACATTTATATGTTACGTTTGTACTATATACTTTTACTCAATAGTATTTTAATATCGCTTGTAAACATGGCATAGTATAATAATAGCATAACATATAAGATCATATATACTATGCATATTGTGTGTTTTTTATTATATTATTGGAGACTTGAATAAGTTCTCTCTGTTTTTTCGTGAAAATGAATGCTTTATTTAAAAAATTAAAAAATTAAAATATTAGTAAAGAACATGTCATTGAAAGTATTGTCCATCACTAGCCACTACTTTCTCCCATCTTTCTGGCAGCATACGAATACCATATCGAAAAAACGACTCATCTCTTGAGGTTATCCACGAATCGACCCATTTTTTGGCATTATCACAAGAATGGAAGTGCTGCTCAGCCAGGCCATGTGTCATCAATTGGAACGAGTGGTAATCGGAAGGAGCAATGTCCGGTGAATACGGCGGGTGAGGTAGGACTTCTTATTTGAGCGTTTCCAAGTAGATTTTGACCGGTTTTGCAACATGTGGCCGAGCGTTGTCATGCTGCAAAATCACTTTGTCGTATCTCTCCTTGTATTGTGGCCGTTTTTCCTTCAATGCTCGGCTCAAACGCATCAATTGTAGTTGATAGCGATTTCCCGTGATGGTTTCGTTGGGTTTGAGGAGCTCATAATATACTACACCCAGCTGATCCCACCAAATACAGAGCATGAGCTTGGAACCATGGATATTCGGCTTTGTCGTCGATGTTGATGCATGGCCGGGCTTACCCCATGATTTTCTACGCTTCGGGTTATCGTAGTGTATCCACTTTTCATCACCAGTCACGACACGATGCAAAAAGCCTTTCCTTTTCTGCCGTTGGAGCAGCTGTTCACACGTAAAAAACGCCGTTCGACGTCTCTCGGCTTCAATTCGTATGGCACCCAATTTCCTTGCTTTTGAATCATTCCTCATATTTTTAAACGTTTGGCAACTGTTGTGTGATCAACTTCTAATGATTCTGCAAGTTCATTTTGCGTCTGACATGGGTCTTCACGATGAAGTTGGCTATAGTATTACCCGATGCAGAAAGGCTAAGATAACACTCCCCCGTGGACGCCACTTTGTGGTGAGGGAGCTTGAAGATCCCAGTGAAGTACAGAGCTGTGCCGGCGGGGGTTTCGGCCCCTGGCAGGTCCTACCATGCCGTGTCTGTAGTGGTCTGTACGGAGGGACCGGACTAAGAGCGTACATAACACTCCTGGCTGGGCAGCTGCCTCCAGGAGTTACCCAGGGACTGGAAGGTCGCACTTGTGCGGCCCAAAGGTCCCTATAGCGCGTGTAGAGCGGGCTCGTTAGCCTTAGGTAAGCAGCCGGTCTAGAGGAAGGAAAACGCCGAATATAAACCCGTGTGTGTGGGGGCACGTAAAACCCCCACATCTATGGAGTAATGACAGATAGAGGAAAAACATTTCCGGTACTCGGAGCCGGAAAACGGCGGGAGGGGGAATATTGTCCCGCCCTCCCCCCCGTCGTCATCATGCGACGGGCCAAGCGGTGTGTGCTAGGCGGATACACCGCTAGAACGTATTACCGCCCGAAGGGAGGTGCCTGAGGAGAGACCGGGGACGAGTCGGTATGACTCGCCCCCGGCCTCTCCGAGGGCACTGAAAAAGAGGAAAAGGAAGGTGGAGACGTCCGCCTCCCAGTTATGGAGGGACAGGGGAATTCACTTCCCTCCGCTTGAGGACGGTAACGTCTAACAAGCGGGGGGGAGTGCAGCCTCCTGGAATCGCGAGGGTGGGGCGGTTGTGCACGACCTGTCCACCTCGCAGGTCTGGGAGCGGCACTTCCCGGGGGAGGAGTTCCCACCGGTCGAGGGCGATTATGCTGCTACGGCCGGAGGAGCTCCTCTCCGTAACGGACGGGAGGTGCTGGGAAGGGCCGGAGGCGATACCAGTGGGGGCTTCCGCCCGTACGGAGGCCCACACTGGCGGGCAAAGCTTTGGCCTTCGAGGCTCTCGCAGGTATCAGTTACCTGCGGGAGCTGCGGGTCGAGCCGGGCAGGAAGGCTGCGGGGCGCTACATCAGAAAGCCTCTCGCATGCCTTAACGAGTTGGCCAACGACTCTCTCCATGATGTGGAGGAAGCGTTGGCTGACTACGAGAGGTTGGTGGAAGAGGGGGGGCCTGATGGACGCCTTGGGGCCCTGGAAATACAAGTCCGGGGCCTCAAGGCTGAAATCGCTCGCATTGGGCGGATACTGGAAAGGGTTCTTCCCTCTTTAATGTCCGCAGCTGCGGGCAGCGAGCCCCCTCTCCCTCACTCCCCTCAGCGGCAACTGGCGGCCGCTAGGGAGGGACGCAATGACGGGTGGACTGTTGTGTCCACTCGCAAAGGCAAGGGCGAGGGGAAAGGGCCTCAGCCTGTACCCCCTCAGCCCAAAGGAGGAGGTACCGCAAAGGAGGTGGCACCTCCCTCTAAAGGAGGGAGGGTTGGGGAGAAGGGGGCTTCGAAGAAAGAGCTCCCTCTTCCCCCTAAAAGGCCCCAGATTCGGAACCCCCCGTGCAACCCAGTGGCTGGCCCAGCGCAACTGTCACTACGTTGCCGGGGGGTTCCATCAATGAAATGATGGCCCATGCCAGGAAACGGGTCGATCTACAGGAGGTCGGCCTGAAGCCTGTCCAGTTCAAGGTGAAACGCGCCAGAACGGCGGTGTATCCCTAGACAGGACGGTAAGGCTAAGGCCGATCGCCTGGCCAGGGATCTTCAAGACGTTCTATGCGGGGAGACTGTGGTCGCCAGGCCGGAGAGGAAGACGGAGCTCCGGCTCGTCGGCCTGGACGACTCGGTCACCCTGCTGCTGGTGAGAGTAGCGGTGATGAAATGAGTTTCATCACCGCTACTCTCGTCCGGATGCCCTCCGGACGACCTCCAGACTGGGGAAGTCAGGAGGTCGACTGGAGGGTTAGGAGCAGTCTGGATCCGGTGCCCATTGGCACCAGCCCAGAAAGTACTAGCAGCCGAGGGACTGATAGTGGGATGGACAAAGGCTAGGGTAAGAGTGCTGGAAGAAAGGCCTCCAGTGCTACCGCTGCCTGAGATACGGCCACATAGTGAACTGCCAGTCCGACGAGGGACTGGGGGGTCGCTGCTTTAGGTGCGGAGGGGCCGAGCATATGGCACGGGGATGCACCCGCAGAAGTGCGGTGCCCCCTGTGCCACAAAGAGGGGAAGGATGCAGGCCACCGTATGGGGGTCGGGCCTGCAAAATAGTCCCCCGGACTGCTCCTAGAAAAGGAGTCCCTCCCCGTCGTAATCGACGGAAGCGGGGGAAAAAGGCAGCACGTAGGGAGGCGGGGGCTGTGGTGCAGCCTCGGCCCGTCGACAGCGCCGCCGAAAATGTAAGATCAGGGACTGCGGTCCTATAGGGCCAAAGAGGTAGGGAAGGGGGTGGTGGAAGCTGATGTAATTCAGCCTCCACCACCCACAGATCTGGCAGGGCCGGTTATAGATGGAGCGACGGCCGCTCCAGCTACGCCGGACCCACTGTCGGCGAATAGACCGGCGGGGGTTCCTGAGGCGGAATTAGACATGGAGGTCGAAGTTTCGGCTGCCCTCCTGGCGGAGGCGGGATGGGAGGAGTGCGAGGGATAACAGCGGGGAGCTCTCTCCACACACTTCCTCATCCCAGACCGATGGGATCGTCGGTGGGGAAATAGCCAAGGAAGGCTCCGCCACCGAGGCTCATCGACCAGGTAGGAGCGGGGGGGGTGAGCCGACCTTGTTAAGGGAACACCCCCACCCGCGCCAGGAGGGTATAGCCCCGACCCGGGGTGTGACCCGCGTCTCCGGCAACATGGGTCGGAGGCGAAAGGAGCCCTGGGGAGGGAAGACCGGCCCCACTGGGGGCTTCCTCACCGAGGGAGGGTGGTCTGGGGGGGTCCCCTCGGGGACCTCCACACACCTTCAAAAGAAGGAAGGAGGCCAGGTGCAGAGCCGAGGGAAATTGCCCCAGTCTCTCCTCCAACGAGGGAGGCAGCAAAGGAGGGAGAAGCCCGAATTCCCGACTCCTGTGGCGCTCAGGGGGAGGACCTGCTGCTGGACAGAGGGGAGGGTAAGCCGGCTTCCCCTCCAATGAGGAAAGAGAGGGAAATGGAGGTGGAGGACTTCCTGACCCTGACCTCCCTGAACCAACTCATAAAGAAGATCCTGGAGGAGCCACAAACCTGGAAGGAAACGAGGAAAAGGGGGGCGACGGACGAAGTCGTCCCCCCGACGAGGGAACAGAAAGGAGAGACCTCGTCACCGGAGGAAGTAGCGGACAAGATGTGGAGGATGGAGCTGAGCGCCACATCCCCAATGAACCTAGCCGCCGAAGGGGAGCCGGAGGGAGTGCAACCCCCGGTTCCCCAATTAGATGTCCCCTACTCATACTCCCGAGAGGAGGGGGACACGCAGGTAGAGACCCCCTGTGCCTCCGACTCTGCAAAGGCACCTGAGAAAGAGGCCATCATAGCCCACACCATATCGGAGGAGGAGACTGTGTCGGAGTTCACTCCGAAAGACGTCTCCTCCGAGGAGGAAGAAGTAGGGCGTAGAAGGCTCAGCCTTCACGCTCCTCAGGGTCCTACAGGGCAATCTTGGCGCCGCGGCGCCCGGGTCCAAGACCTGTGGGTTCACAGGCTTGCGGAACTGGGCACTGGACTGGTGGGGGGCACCGAGCCGCAGTGGG